GCAATGAAGACATCTACATAAAAGCCCAACTGCAATGTTGTGCTATACACTGTGATTCCTATTGGGACATCATCTTTATCGGATGAAGGGAATGATAGTAAAAGAAAAGCTTGCATTTATCCAATTACTCTCCATCTCTAGGGTCCAACCCTCATTTGCCAGACTAAACACATTTAATACTTCGCTGGGATCCTGTTTTATTGTTTTGATAGTAGTGAAATTTATTACAAGGGGCTGGAAGGTATGCATGAAAAATTAATACTGCTACCAATAAGAAGAGAAATAGCGACATATTAATTTGCTGGATTCTACAAATGAGCTTTCAAATTAAAATTCAGTTCACAAGCAGCTGAAAGCTTTAACAAGTTTCTTTGGTTATCTGATCTTCTTTTCAGAGGACTTTGATAGGGCCTGGAGAGTTCACTGAAAACATTCGGTTTAATAGGTTATTCCTAGTCAATGGAATTGCTTTGGGGCAAGGGTCTTATCTAGACATTCGTTTGCACAACTCTGCTCATCGCTGGTGCAGCATGAATGTCACGTAGATCAATAGACTCGGGCATGAAATATGTGAGCTGGGAAAAATCCAGCTTAGCAGCTTCTCCCTCCCACATGCCAGCACGTATAGATGCAAACATAAATTTTATACACATATTGTAATGAATCAAAGCTTAAATGTTCCGTGTGGAAATTACCACCCGGACAAAAAAGAGACACCATTTTTCATCAGGAAAAAAGAGATCTAAAAGCAGCACTAATTAAGTGTAATGACATTCACCGGTAGGCTTTGCATGACCACTGATTGTTTTGTCACGGATATTTATTTTCATTTCAAAGACTGAGAGGAATCAAATCAAACAAAATAATCTGACCTCAAAACCATAAAAAGCCTGGTCACACAGTAAGATCACATCTATTTAACCCAACCAGTTTGAGAACAACCTTAACCATCTGAATAAGGGAAACTGGTGCTGAGACCGTGACCAAGACTGTCCTCTTTGATTTCCTTCTCCTACCCCTATATTTTGCCCACATGCATGCACCTTGGTCTACCCTAGGGATCTCTGAGCCCATGGCAGAGGTCAAGGATTGCCCAGAGCGCTGCTTCTCCACTAACCTTTCTCGCCTCGCTTCTTTTTAGTCCTGTCGATGTGGTCCTTGAGCTGGATGCGGACCTGCCTTTCGTTGGGCTGGTCTCGGATGAAGGGGTGCTTCATCAGCTGCTCTGTGGTTGGTCTCTGGCTGTGGTTCTTCACTAGGCAGCTCTCAATGAAGGACTGAAACTTTTTAGACCTGGATAAGGACAGAAAAGGAAGGTACAGAAAAAAACCAAGTAACTATATTGATTCTTGTATTAGAAAGTGAGAAGTATGTGGGTATTCTGTGTGATCTCATTTAGGTTCCTGCTCCGGCAGGGAGATTGGACTGGATGATCTTTCGAGGTCCCTTCCAATCCCTAACATTCTGTGATTCTGTGATTTGAGAAGACCCTTGGGCTGCTACACAGCTCTTACTCAGATGCAGCCTTCCAAGAGGGTTCCCATGACTTCTCTGTTGATGCTCAGCACCATCTCCAAGCAGCACCATCACATGTGCCCTCTATCACTTTCTCCTCTCCTACTCTTCCCATGCATGCTCCTATCTATACCTTCCTGGAGCACTTATAAGAAACCATCAGTCTGCTGAGCCTGGAGAAAGTTGTGAACCATCAGAATGAGCCAGATGTCACCAATGGCAACCAAGAAAATGCAAGGAACTGTTCCTCCTCCCTTCCCCTTCCCCTGTGAAAGTGCAGGTAGAAACGAGAGACAACACATACAGATATAAATGCAATTCCTTAATGGATTGTTTCTCATATTTTGTGGCCCTGGGCACTGTTTCAAGAGATGTAATTCTCTGAAGATGAGTGGGACAAGCTAGGTTGATGGGTTTTTCTAGATTTAACCACCCAAAGTTAAATGGCTTGTTAAAGCTCGGACAACCTCTGGGTGATCCTCGCTGCCTGCAGCCCTTCCCTGCTCTCACAGGGAGATCCAGTGACGTTACTGACCCAACAGGTCCCAGGGGCCACCATGCCCTGGTCCCTCTGATGACAGACCCAGGTGAATGGGACATGCTCTTTGGGCAGTATGGCTTGGGCAGAGGTGGGAACAGCCCGCTCCTCACAGCCCGCCTTTCCACAAACAGTTAAATTCCATCTCAGCTAAAATAATTTCAGCCAAATCTTTAATAAACAAATTTACCTTAGCCTCAAGTGTTGCATATCAAAAGTTTTCCTGGAATTAATTTCACTGCATTATAAACCCAAGAGAACAGGGATTTACAAGAAGGAAAGATGTTGACAGGCCGTTATACTCTATGTTGCTTTAGCAAATAGGAAAATTAGTGTAAATTAACGTCAGAAGCTAACAGATACTACAGAATTGCATTAGAAGTAAAACAATAAGCTTTCAGGGATTTTACTTTTAAGCTGTCAGACTAAAAGTGATTTATCTTTTAAGTGCTAATCCGTACAAATTGAGATGCAAAAATAAAATACGCAACTGGATCCAATTAAATCCTTCCTTCAGCTTTATTAATGAGCAAATCTTCCTTCCCCACCTTGCCTCAAGAAACCCTGTGTCGCAGTGTATTCCAGAAGGGACAATCCACGTGATGCACCAAAAAAAAATCTGCTTCTAAAATATGATTCTCCTCTGTTGGTATGAAGCTGGAGAGACTCCAGTCCTGGGTACATGATCCAGAGCACCCACAAATACAGTTAAGGTGAAGGAGCTAAAAAGTTATCCTCCAGTGAGTGATGGGTTTGCCCATCTCTTGGGGATAGAGGTCCCAGTGCCCTGCAATGCCCTAAGACACCTTTCCATCCTTGAGCAGGCACACAGGTCAGCCCATCTTCACAAACCACTTGGTTCCTCCAGCTCCTGGGTTTGCAAAGCTTTTAAATAAATGTTTGCAAAGTCTTTGCAGCTGCTTGGATGAAAAGTGGTATCACAGTGTAAATATCACCTCATTAACGAAGAGGTTTTGTCATCTCTTATAAGGCAGGAAGTGTTTATAGGAACGACATCACTCTAGTTCAAATTCATTCTTCCTGCGAGATGTGGGAAGAAGAAAATAAAGCTTTGTAGCTGTCTGGCTTTAATTGGGAAGGAAAATGATACAAAAGACTCTTAAATTTCACAGGAAGACAGCACTATTTTACAAGTGAGTTCAAGGATTTAGTAGGCAACAGAAGTATTTTCCTCTCTGGGATTTTTGATCTGGGGCAGTGCCCATGCCTGCTTTCCCTCTCAGCTTTCCCTGACTTAACCTCCAAGGTGCTGGAGTCACTTTGCTGTTTCTTTCACGTAATGAAAAAGACAGTCTGCCCCCTTGGTGTATTCTCACATCTCGCTGCATGCAGAAGCAAGGATGAACTCCAGGTTCATGTTGAACCTTTCTTCATTTTGCTTTTTCTGTTGTGATCTGTGTTTGTGAAAACCACTGCCTGCCAGGGAGCCACTGTGAAAGTCTGGTCAAACATCTCCAGTCTTCTTGAGTTGGGCTTGCAGAGAGCTCCAGGACCCATTCTGGCCAGATCCAAAACCTCCAGCTGAGAAATGAGCTGAGGACAGCAAGTGCCCAGTGAAAATGATGAAAAAAAAATGCTCTTAAGGAATCAGTGGAGTCTTACTGGCTTGGAGCTTCATCTGGGTCCTCTGGAGTTTCTCATTGCAATGAAAGCTTGGAAGATGGATATAGGTTGGAGCTGCCCAAGGTACATGTGCCTCAGCTCTGCTGGAGACCAGGAAACCCTGGTTGCTCATGGAGGAGTAGCAGAGGCCAGATGAGCACCATGCTCCCCTGGAGAAGTTCAAAGCTGGAGTTTCATTAAGCTATGACTTCCAAAGCAATCCCTCTCTCAAAGGACCCAGGATCCTATCCCCGGGAGCATAGTCCTGGGCAGATCAGCCGACCCTGGGTAGACACCATCATGCTTCACTACCACAAGACATGCAACCAGCCATGCAAGGGGAAGGTGGTGCCAAGCAACACCCCAGCTTGCACAAAGCACATCCCGGTATCTCAGAGCAGCGAAGAAAATACAACTTCCACCCCAGCTCTGTTGTCTCCTGAAGGAGATGGGGAAATGTTCTGCTCAAAACCTGCTTTCATCAGCTCTCCTTTGCCTGGAGGCTGAGGAAGCCTTTGCTGAATAAACAGCACTTTTGTATGAAAAATAAACTCTGAAGTCTTACAATCCATTTTGTGCTGTAGCAGTGAGAGCATAATGAAGTAAGAGACTGGTGATCTGGCAGAAAACAAGCATATCAACTATTTTCTCAGCTGACTAATAGTATCCTCAAAAGGCTGTGCAAGGACACCAAGCATCTTTGACACCCTCTGCAGAGTCAGCTGGGCAAGGTCCCTCTCCTCCTGGTTTGGTACTGGAGCAGCTGATAATCAGGCTGACAAAATGAAGATGCCTCCTGCCAAAACTTGCATGAGTTTTTAGGGGGCTGGTCCTAAAACCCCAACACCATACATGTGACAGAGGAGTCCAAGTCTCTCTCACTCCTCTCCCAGCAACAAAATACCTGCTGCTTTGGCACCAAGTCTTCTCAATACTTGGCAATTATTATTCTCATTTTTGTTGTTGTTTTTGTTTTTGCCACCTTCAAAAAGATAATAAGCATAATTTCAAGGAATAAAGCAAAGCTTCCGTCTGTGAGCTCAGCCCATCTGGGAGCAAGGGGCAGTGCTGCCTCTCTAACATCTGGCAGATCTTTCCTGACCAAACCACTGAACCTGGAGCAGGCAAACAGCACAAACCAAAGATGAGTGTTTTTAAGGACTCCAGTTCCACCAGTACAGAACATACAGTAACAAAACAACATCTGCTGGGCTTCAGGAATATTTTTCCTACGGGTTTTTATTGGCATGCCCTGCTCTTTTTTCTTTTTTTTTCCCTTCAAAACAGTGATGTATTTTTCCTGTAAAATTTTAAAATAAAGCCCAAACTAAGTATAAATCTCCGCATTCCTGGGCCTTCAAGATAAACTATCCTTTTTTTTTGGCGTGGATACATGTTTCCACTTGAAAATGGAACCTGCCTGGAAAGAAACAGGAGCCAAGCAAAGTGTCATTTGGCTTCAGGCTACACAAACCGCCTCGGAAAAGCCGACTCCATACTGCAAAATGGCAGCATGAGAGAGCATTCTCCTCTCTGCCCACCCAGGAAGCTCTCCTTCCCACAGTGAGAGACTCCTTCAGATCACATTGTCTCTCCCTAGGAGATCAAGACCCAAACCTGCACTCACCAGAGTGATACTGGAGACCATCACCAACCCCAGAAGCTATATAAATGGAACCACTAAATCCCCAGCACGCCCGGGCTGCAGAAACAAGTTGCTCCAGAAATGTTTTTACAGTCGTTGAAGATTGAGAAAGAGACTCACCACTTCTTTGATTTCAACCTTGGGGCCGGGTTGCGGGGGATGAGGAAGAGGGCTCTCATGGGATGCATGTCACAGAGAGCTGCAATGGGCAAGAAGAGGCATTAAACATGGCACAGCATCGCACAGAACCCCTGGGTTTCCTAAAGAGAAGCTACACGCCCAGCTGGGGAGACCCAAGTTTCCTCTTGTCCTGGTTTTTAGCTGGAACAGA